CACATTCTGTCTAACCCATTAGGTCTGTTTTGGTCCTATCATGACAGACAAATCCTGCAGACAACCTCATTGTGTAACCCACAACATTCAATAAAGAGGAAGTTTGAGAGCATCAACACAATCTTGGGGCTCTGGTGCTGACTGAGCTGAGAGGGACAGCTCTGTCTCGCCGGGCTCCAGTCGAGTCTGGGGACTGTCAGCCCAGTCTCTGGTCCCCAGATGAACCGTGCTGAGTGAGTTCCCGACGTGCCCCTGGCCCTGAACACAGTGGTTTGCCCATGCTGTCAGTCTGGCTCTGCACTTCCAGATGACTCATACGTTGCCTTTTCACCTGGCATCRATGAAAGATAAAGTCCAAAAGAGGATTGTCTCCTTATATAAACATGAGCACACATCATGTCTTACAATTTAAAGGGGACATATCTTGAAAAGTTCACAGTTTCAGCCTGTTTAATACATTTTGTTGTGTACTTGAGAGTCTCTAGGAGTGCAGAAAAGTTGAATTTAGTGCTTCATAAATATCTTTATATTATTTTTGGTCATATTTTCCAACCCATTTAGTTTTCTCTCTTTTATATCAACTTTGTTTTTACTATTATGTCAAATTATGTGTGACAGAACTGCCATATAAAGCCCGGACTTACCAACTACAATTCTGTTGTCTTTATTCTCCTCTGGCTCTGGGTCGGACTCTGGCCCCAACTTGTAAGGCTGGATGGACAAGTCTTCCCTCGTTGACTTATTTTAATTAATTTCTAAATGTTTCCGCGCCTCTATATAGTCGTAAACCCCTCTATCAAAGTAGAATGGACCTGTCTGGAAGCTGAAGGAGAGCGGGGTGTGAAGCGCCTTGTTTGGATTTAAAGAGACAGCATCAAAACGAGCTGATCTGAGACATGACTCAGAAAAGTGGTGAAAGAGGGGCTTGTGGAGTTACAATAGGAATGAATGCAGACCAACTCTTTGTAGTTCCATATGGAACAAATATAGACCTGAACTGAATGATGAAAATGTGAAAAAGAAGGATTTAAAAGTGACGTTTCCTTTAAATTCAGGCAATTTGAGACCCCTCACACGTAATAGTGTTGGTATTTTATCAGTATAAGCTGATAGACATCACTTTTCATGCCTCTCCGGTGCTTATATCCTACCAAAATTAGGAAAATGTTGTCTCTGCACATATAGATATGGACCTAACTGTATAAACATAAATTAATGCTGCTCACAACTATTTTTTCTTTGGACTTTTTAGACTGTATTTTCAGTCTGTTTTTTGTGTGTAGGTAACCATGACAGCATACTTTACAGCACATGCTTAAATACAGAACTGCAATCTCAACTCGTGTCTAACAGCATAACAGAACAGGTGAAAGAAAAAAATGAACTGTCAGGGTTTTGTCAAAGTTATGAAATAAAAACGTAAGCTTTATAACGTTATTTTTGCCTCAGTGGGGTATGTAATAGTCAGAAATCAACCTACAGGAAGGAGGTCTGAGAAGTCCGTATCAATCGTCACAGTTTTGCCATTCTTCATCTTTTTGGGTTCTTCCTCTTCATCCATCTCCTCCTCAACCATYGGCACAACTGCCTGTTCTTCTACGTTCGTTACATGGTCTGTGTTTCCCTGATTAACCTCTTCTGCTTGTCGGAGTTCAGGAATCAGCACACCTGCGTCCAAATCCAGGCAGTGTGACAAGGAGGCCACCACAGCGTTGAGGGTCTGGGACTGACGTGCCTCAGGCAGACAACTCTTCATATTCCACAGTGTCCCTGAGAGTCCAAACAGATGTTAAAGGGACCCATGATTAGTTGTAACATTAGACTTTATTTAATAAACACATATTTTAACTGTAAAATAAAGACTGTAAAAATATTGTAGGATATTCAGTTTTTATCATTTTTAAACTAAAAGTTTAAAATATATTACACGAATGGGGCCATTTTATTTACATGCAAAGCTTTCTGGGTAAATGATGACGTGGATAGGTCCTCGGTGCGAGGCTGCAAGCGAGCTATATCCACCCTGAAGGTTAATCTTGGACAATATCTGACGATTTGCTCTTTTAAATGAAACCAGAGAGCGTTGACAGAGAGGAGAAGGTAGAAACGACTCAGCCTGTAACTGAAAATAAGAATGGAGGACAACAGTTTAGCTTGTTTGTCACACTAGCACTGAGCTAATACATATAATGCGATATAGCGTCGGCGCTAGCGCGAAGGCTAACAGGCTAAGCTGATGTTCTTCTTCCATGAAGCAGCTCTGTTGTCCTCCATCTATATTTTCAGTTACTCCAGCCACATTTTCAGTTACAGGCTGAGTCATTTCTACCTTCTCCTCTCTGTCAACGCTCTCTGGTTTCATTTAAAAGAGCAAATCGTCAGATATTGTCCAAGATTAACCTTCTGGGTGGATATAGCTCGTTAACGCTGAGGACCTATCCATGTCATCATTTACCCAGAATGCTTTGGGTGTAAATAAAATGGCCCCGTCCGTGTAATATAT